GTAACTTTCAAGTATTATGTGCACTTTAAAACAAGAATAGGAGCTCATGAAGTTTTTTCCTTCAGGATCTGCAAAAAATCAGCCAATAGCTGTTCAGTAGCTAGTAAATTCGTTAAGGAAGCGATTTAGAATCTCAGAGTCGAGGGACTAATAGTTAAATACTTGTTTTTTGCCATTATAACAGCCAAAAAATTGACAATAAACAGTAGCTGTCAACTGCCTTTTTTTCAACATTTTATTGCATACTAACTAAATGACCTTTTCTCAGGCTTTTATCAACAATTACAGAATAGACAATAAACTGATCGTTCACTGGTAGTTTCTTAACAGGATGCTAAAAAAGCCAGTTTTGAGTTATACATTTAAAAAACCTTACATAGATCATTAAATACCAGTTATATTTCACCTGAGTAAGAGAAAGAGAGACAGGTAGTAATAAGAAAGAATTTTCTAAAAACGGTACACACCGGCAAGACCGAACACATACGCGGCATTTCGGAAATCTCCTCCTAATTCTACTTTTACTTCAATAGTTTTTTGTTTGATTCTCAAACTCTTTAAATTTTTTATACTTTCTAGAAAGTTTTGGGGAAGAGTTTTCCGCAGAATCCAGAGATGTCAGCATATCAGTACGCAGTGTATTCTCAAAAAGACACTATTTGCTGGGCTTGGTGTATTCTCACTGACAATACACGAGAATATACCAGAATACGCAAATATTGACAATACATAATATAGTGCCGCGGTCGGAGGGAGGGGGAGATGCAGCATGAGAGTGAGTCACTATGCAACATTTGCGTATTGTCAATGAGAATGCACCAAGCCCAGCAAGCCCAGCAAGCCCAGCACATTTTATAGAAATTTATATATTTGCGAATTCTGATATATTCTCGTGTATTGTCAGTGAGAATACACTTGCTGGGCTTGGTGTGGTCTTGCCGGTGCATAGTGACTCACTCTCATGCTGCATCTCCCCCTTCCCCCGACCGTGGCACTATATTATGTATTGTCAATATTTGCGTATTCTGGTATATGGCAAGTTTGAAAAAACAGTCTCTTTTTGAGAATACACTGCGTAGTGATATTCTGACACCCCTCGCAGAATCTCGTTCGATTCAGATTCAAGTTCAAAAATACCTACTGGTACTAGTTTCTTAGCCGTCTGACTCTGCTTTCCTTCCTCAATACAATTTACAGAGATTGCTAATTACCCAGCATGGTTCCATCCATGCTCAGCCTAAAAGTTAATTTATTAAGATTTCATATATTTTCGTTGAATTTCGCTGCTACAAACACAGCTGTACGAGTAGCAAATTCAAAATTGACATAGGCACTATTTTTATCAAAAATAACGGGAATATCTCTGTTAACCGTCTTTCTTACTAGATCTATTTCACCTAATGAATAAAATCTGTTGTGTTTTTGAAAAAAATCGGAAAATGTAGCTAAAGCGGCACCTGTGAGATGAAACTCATCTTTTAGATGGCGAAAAAGTCTTTTAAGCTCTCTTTCCTTTTGAACTTTCTTATTCTGATGTTTCTGTTCGGGCACATCTATGTCTGAATCCTCTTCATCTTCATAAGATCGTTTATTTCCACGAGTATAATAAGTTGGGCCTAAGGTTATATCAATTTCTGATTCGGAAGTAGAAGGAAGTGAAGAGTTCTGATTGATCATATAAGCCGAAAAAGTGAGATATTTCGGTATTAATTTATTTGTCTTACACTCTAAAATTTGAAACACACTAAAACATGAGATTAAACTTTCATGTTTTCTATAAAAGTTGGTAGATCATGGGTATGACTTTTTTTTTTGAAAAATAATGATCGATCAGAGACATTAATTCATTAATTTCGAGGACTCCACGTTCATCAAAATAATCAAGAGCAGACTCCACAAAATTTCGAGTAGGCGTAATATTTACAGACTTTTCTCGAGGTTGAAAACACAGAATATAGAAAAAACGAGTCATCAGTATTTTCTGTTTTGATTCAGACAAATACACTTCGTACGAGAAAATTTTTTCATGAAGTTCTAGCTGTTCGACACAACTCAGTTTAAGAGAAAAATCATTTTTTTCTTTTAGAAAAGCAATAGCGCTTAAACCACTGCGATTGTTTTTAGCATCACGAATGCGACAACCCATATATCTCGACAGCTGCTCTTTCAGTGATGTGATACACAAATAATATTTTCTTTCAAAACAATAATCAATAACATTATCAACTAATTTTTCCGTCTCTTTGTTGTTCCTTGTTGTTATTCAAACAGTTTAAAAACATATCCCTGAGATATTCGAAATTTGTTTGAATAATAAGATTCAAGATTGAAAGAAGACTGTTGTCGATATATCGCACCATATATCAATATATATCAATTACACACACACACACACACATATATGTGTGTAATCCAGACAAAGACACCTCTCTTTGTTATCGTGTAGTGTGTCCCTAGACCTTCCTTTCTCTCCTCTCTAACGAATCCAAGTCACACTTATTGGCACAAAAAAATATGAAAAGTAAAAGAGGGGGTGGTGGTGGACGAAATCAGTATCATCCATATAATAGTCATCTTACAATTCCAGGCTAGTAAAAAGAGTAATCATTCTGTGTTTATGTAAAACAGAGCTTGAAAAAGTGAATTTTGAATATTCAGGGTCTACACTTGTCTAGAATAAAAGTATGATCCACAAACCCTAAAACAATTTTTTTTAACAGGTTATCGTCCAATCAGCCCAACACATTGTTGTATTTGCGTTATTTTTCGGCAACATTCGTGTCCATTTTTCACGTGTTGAAAATTGTGTAAAAAAATAAAATAAAAAAATTTTACACTATTTTCTTTTGTCTTCTCTTAATATTTGCTGTTACAAAGAACAGATAATTCTAGATATTCTTTTTGTTGCTCTACCTCTCCTCTGTTAAAATGCATTTGCGAAGAGCGCGACCGGACCCTCTCTTTTATAAACGGCTTCACAATTGAGAAATAAAAGAGCCAGATGTGCCTTCTGTACCACTGGAAGCACATAATTTTAGAAAACAAAATACTATTCGAGCACTTATACCCCATATACAAAAGTTCCTTCATAAAGGAACAACTAGTCGTGGTAAAGGAGACAAAAAACAAACAAAAATCCCATTGGCCAGTCGTGCGCTAATAAATAATTTAAAAATATAGGCTTGACCGCCAAATGGGCTAATAGTCCATCATTATCAGAGGTTCTCACAATCTCATTTACCGATGGTGATTATATAAAGACAGCCCAGCTATTACAGTTCAAATTAACTGAGAAAAAATTCAGTTGTTTTGACGGAACCAACAGCCTAGTTGAGTCAGATAGCTCGTATTTTTTAGAAATACGTTTTCTTAGAGCTCTTCCAGTTCTGCGTAACTGAACTATGTCTACTAAAATTTCCTTGGTTGATCTGTAATGTACATACATTTTTTTCTTAGCGGGAGTCTTTTTCTTTTTTCTAGAGCATTTTTCGAAGTTTGTAGAGCACCGGAAAAAAAAGAGTAAAAAATGTAATTCCGTCACGACACCTATTTTGCTCATAAAAATCGTTCTACTTAACCGACGCATTCGAAATTTTTACCACAAACCAAGCATTCTACCGCACATCTCTGATAAAAATTTCATCATCTTTTGTTTAGTATATGAGGAGAAACAGAGCCCAAAAATTGAAAAAGTGTAATTCCGTCACGCGAGTTTAAGCCGAAAACGTTTTTCGGAAAAACGAAAAGACATTTTCCCTTCCAAACATGAAAAAAAAGAGGTATTTTGTAGAGAATTCGATTCTCTGTCCGATGGTATAGTTTTTGGAATTTTTGGAAAAAATACCTCGGTCAGGAAATTGAATTTAAAATTTAAAACTTTTTAAATTTAAATTTTCGCTGCGAAAATTTAACTTTAACTTGTTTTTTGAGTGTAGATTCGTAATCAGCGCAAAAAAAGCGTCTAATGATATATTTTTAAGCATTGTTCAAGTTAAAACAAAAATTCGAACCCTCTCATCCGAAGGTGGGCCGTTAGCTGGCCATGCCATGATATATTTTTTTAATTTCAAAAGATGATTCTTTATTTCTGGGTGTTGATTTCAAAGCAATTAACTATTTTGGTCTTATTTTCATCAATCTCCACGTTCTCCAACGAATGATATTAGATAACAATTTTGGGTAAAATCTAGATTACAAAAAGGACCTGCAGATATTTTCATGGGTTTGATTTTGGTTGTCAAAACCCAAAAGACAAATGTTTTTGCAGTCATCATTTTTAGAATGAGTTTTTGATGCTAAATCAGAAAAAATTAGTTTAAAAACTTGAAAATAACAATAAAGAAGAGAATTTGAATTATGTTAAAAATAGAGGCGTTTTGTAAAATATCCGACTCTCCTAATTTTTAAGATTTTTCGAAGAGAAAAGAAGGTTTTGAGTTGAACCCATCCTTTTCGTACTCAGTTCGATACGTTGTTTCAAATGATATATGATTTTATTGAAAAAAAAATAGTACTCAACTTTTGAATTTCCAACATCTTACAAAAATAAAGGAAAAAAACTTGAAAATACGGTCACTAGGCCAGTTCTATAAGTCTATTGGGATAGAATCATTCCAAACGTTGTCGTATGATTTATTCAGGCGATTGGCATTGTTCCGCTGTAGGTTTTTAATTCATCAACAATTTGTTTAACAATTGTTTTAGATTCATTCAATTTTAATTGTACTAAATCATTTTGTTGATCAGGATTTGCTAATTCTCTTAGAAACCATGGAGCTATATTACTTTTTAAATCATACAATAATTGTATGAAATGAAAATTTTTAATTGTTCTCGGTGTTTCAATATTTAATAATTCTAATTGTTCATAAAAATATGGTTTTAAATCAGCATCACCAAAATAAGATAGAAAATATTCTTCTGAACATGGATATGAGCCTGCCCATTCCCAATCGATAATACCTGTAATATTCAATTTTATAATGCGTAGAAACTTTAAAATAGTAGTGACGATAACTTCAGCTATTTTAAAAATCATTATATTTATTTTAATTATATATCGGCTAAAACCCGTAACTGTCGCCCTCAGCTGCGGTGGGTTGAGCGATATTTTTTCTCTCAAACCAGCCGTAAAAACACACCATTAGACGCAGTCTTTTGCGCTGATTACGAATATCAACTTTAAAACGAACGAAACTCAAATTTTTAAATCGAAAATTCAAATTTAAAATTTAGAAGTTTTTTTATTTCAATTTTCTGACCTACTTAGTTTTTTAAAAAGT